GGGGGGGGGGGCGTGGTCAAGAGGGTAGGGGTGATGGCGGGGCAGGGTCGACAAGCGCGCGACTCTTGGAGCGTGCGTGTTTTGGAGTGCGCGCGGCGCGGTGCAGCTGCCGCATGTTTCCGCATGGTGTGACCCATGTGGTGGCCTGCCTCACCGCTTGTGTTGCCAAAAACAACCCGCCATCTGCACGCCCCTCACCTTGCCCTTTCCTTTCATCACCCACCCACGTCAGTCCCTGTTGACATCATCGTGACCCCCACGCGTGTCATCCGCTGCACCCACCCACCCGGCACCAAGAAGCCCCCAGGCATCCTTTGGCACAAGTGAGCCCTCCTGACGCCGGGTCCAGGATGTCAAAACCGCGCCGGCGCACTGCACTCGCCGCCGCTCTGGGGCGTTTCTTTGCGGCGGGCCTTTTTTACCGCAGCACGCGAGCCTGGGCTTACTGTCACCAGGGTCACCTGTTTGCCCCCAGGCTCGTGAGTTTCCTGGGGCATTGCATAACAGGGTGGGGCATACTATTGCTATGGGCGCTTCAGCCTCGGACTTCTGGCGAATTCCACACACCACACTCCGCTCCCTCGCTCCCTCGCCCCTCTTGCACCACGGCCCCCATCACACCATTTTTGCAGACTGAGGTGGGCTGCTGGTGTTGTCGGCGGGGCCGGGGCGTGACACGGGGTGTGGGTGGGAAAAAGGCAGCCGCAGCAGCCAGGATGTGCTGTCTATCCTGAACCAACTCAGTTGCGGTGAACAGGTGCCCTGTGGCAGTTGCTGCTTGAAGACGCCTGCCGCTCACCCCTGCCCTGGTAGTGACCTGTCCTCCACCCAGTCACCCCCATCATCTTGATGCTCCTGCCCCTGGCATCCTGTCTGATATTCATTCACCTCCAACCACTGGACGTCCAACATCAATCTCCAACAACAATTGAACGTGCAGCCCTGAGAAGCTGGCGAGCATCCGTGTGCTGCAGCAGCTTAAGGAGAGCATTGAAAAGGAGACTGGCACCAAGCTGCCCTCGGGTGCGGCCCTGCATGCGTTTTTCAACACGTTGCAAAGACTGCATGGGATGCGTCTTGCTACCTGCGAATCGTGGCTGGTTCAGGGTTACTGAACCGCTGTGGTCAGCGCAGCGGTGCGAACACCGTAGCAACATGCGTGATGCATGTTGCGCACGCATGTCGTCCAGGCAGGGGCCCATGGCCTGTTTGACCTCTTTGACCCGCATGACGAGCGCAGGCCCTTCAGAGACGCTGCCCCCGCTGGCCCAGCGCGGCCCCAGGAGCGGCGGCCGCGGCGGCGGCGGTGGACGCGGCGGCGGCAGGGGAGGCCGCGGCGGCAGGGACGGCAGCGGCCGCGGGCGGGGCAGCAGGGGCGGG